GATTTGAAGAACCGATATTATTAGCGCTTCCTCCTGAGAACTTTGAGGAGAGCGCAGAGGACAGCATATTTTCTTGGTTAGTAGATATTGATTTGATCATTCACATAGTCTTATTTCTTCATTTACGGCATCCTTATTCGTTGGTTTAGTTTGCATGAGAATTTGTGCAGATCGATATTTTGAAATGTACTGATTCTAAGAAAGAACATTTGAATTGGTGGTTCGGATTTGCAACAGTGTGGAACGGCGTATAAATGCCGTAGAAGAACGTTCACTCACATTTGACTTAGTGAAAGGAGGAATGATTGATATGATAATTTACGATCGTAATAAAGAACAAATGAACAAACCTTTGGTTTATCCAACCGAACAAGAGCACATACTGGTTTTTCGATAGCATTCACGTGACCAACGAGTACAACGGCTGCATTCGTACCCGGTGTTATCTTCTTCATTTGCCTTGTTTCGTACTTTAAATTATTTGGTATCATTTTCACAACTCCATTCAAACAATTTCTCTGATTCATTTGTCGACTAATTCAATTGCATCAAAAACTTGATTTGACTGTCACAAAAGAACAAGTATTTCGTTAAGCCTAGAACGCCTATCAGGATCGTTTTAAGCCCATACCAAGTTTGACCCGATGGCATTCTGCTCTCCGGTGGAACCGTGAGCTTTAATTTCAAGTCCCTAAAGACTATGTATGCCTTTTTTCCGATAGGTTCACATCATTTCGCGAGAAGTTATCATGCAAGGAAATGACCACTCGCCAAACGCATACTGGAGTCAATTTGACCTTAACCCAATTTTCGTTGAAAAATTGATCGTTGATGCCTATAAATGCCAACGAATCTGGTCCTCTTCATTCTTTTCGCGAGAAGTTATTCTTGATTCTTGATCCATTTTTGATCAACCACTAGATCAAGTAAGATGACGGTCATGCGAATGAACATGAGTTTCACAGTAGTGTCGCCTCATCGATATGTCATTTCTTTTTAGAGGACCAGAATTTAGCAGCTGATTCAACGCCTTTGAATAGCANATTCAAGAGCTCTTTCTGGTGTTTCTATCAAATAAGGGCCATGGCTGATGTAAGATGATATTGGAGTGGATAAGCTGAGTGCAGTCAAATTCATCTGATGGGTTAACTGCATTTCTACTGGCAACTGGCTTTCGGCTCGAAGCACACATTACTCGATCAAACGATAAACGAATATTGCAAAATGATGAATTACATACACTTGTAAAGGGATGAATTCCATAGTAACAGTTATGAGACTTTTTTTCATGGCTACGATAAGCATGAGGTGCCATGCATGCGAGATGTGAATATCTAAAGTAAACACGTTTCGTTGGGAGCTCTATCGCTTTTTCCTGGCCTAGAAGACATGAATTCCCGATGTGGACGTCTCGTGGCTAAGCCGTACTATATTGCATATGCGATGAAAGAAAAAATCACACTGATGATCATTCGAATAAATTACTTATATTGACAATGAAGAACTAACTAGGTGCAGAGTAGTAGTGAACAATAATTTTACAGAAAATTAAACAAGTGATTTTTTTGTTTGTTCCTTTAATTCTGGGGATTTCAACGACTTTGGTTTAGATTTGTTGACGATGCTCAGTTGTTCTATCATGATCTGTGTGATGCTGTTTGCTTAGAGATATTCAAGTCGGTTGTTTCTGTTTTTATTTGACTGCAGTTTTTAAGAATATTATTTTTTACAAATGTATAAAGCAATTCCTTCCATCATTACCAATGTAAATTAGA